GCCGCGTGCAATCTTACTTCAGCAGGTGCAACTTTTCTGCGGGATCAGCATTTTAGCTGAACCCGAATTTTATCCCCAAGTTGTTAGCCTGGGGGTAAGGACGATGAGACGATGAGATTTTCTTCCGCGTAAAGGAAACTCGGACCGCGCGTGCATCTTACTTCAGCAGGTGCAACTTTCTGGGGGATCAGCACTTTAGCTGAACCCGAATTTTATCCCCCAAGGTTGTTAGCCCTGGGGTAAGGAGATGAGACGATGAGATTTCTTCCGCGTAAAGGCAAACTCGGACCGCGCGTGCATCTTACTTCAGCAGGTGCAACTTTTCTGGGGATCAGCACTTAAGCTGAACCCCGAATTTTATCCCCCAAGGTTGTTAGCCCTGGGGGTAAGGACGATGAGACGATGAGATTTCTTCCGCGTAAAGGCAAACTCGGACCGCGCGTGCATCTTACTTCAGCAGGTGCAACTTTTCTGGGGGATCAGCACTTTAGCTGAACCCGAATTTTATCCCCAAGGTTGTTAGCCCTGGGGGTAAGGACGATGAGACGATGAGATTTCTTCGCGTAAAGGCAAACTCGGACGCGGCGTGCATCTTACTTCAGCAGGTGCAACTTTCTGCGGGATCAGCATTTTAGCTGAACCCGAATTTTATCCCCAAGGTTGTTAGCCCTGGGGGTAAGGACGATGAGACGATGAGATTTCTTCCGCGGTAAAGGAAAACTCGGACCGCGCGTGCATCTTACTTCAGCAGGTGCAACTTTTCTGGGGGATCAGCACTTTAGCTGAACCCGAATTTTATCCCCAAGGTTGTTAGCCCTGGGGTAAGGACGATGAGACGATGAGATTTCTTCCGCGTAAAGGCAAACTCGGACGGCGGCGTGCATCTTACTTCAGCAGGTGCAACTTTTCTGGGGATCAGCACTTTAGCTGAACCGAATTTTATCCCCAAGGTTGTTAGCCCTGGGGGTAAGGACGATGAGACGATGAGATTTCTTCCGCGTAAGGGAAACTCGGACGCGCGCGTGCATCTTACTTCAGCAGGTGCAACTTTTCTGGGATCAGCACTTTAGCTGAACCCGAATTTTATCCCCCAAGGTTGTAAGCCTGGGGTAAGGACGATGAGACGATGAGATTTCTTCCGCGTAAAGGCAAACTCGGACCGCGCGTGCATCTTACTTCAGCAGGTGCAACTTTTCGGGATCAGCATTTTAGCTGAACCCGAATTTTATCCCCAAGGTTGTTAGCCCTGGGGTAAGGACGATGAGACGATGAGATTTCTTCCGCGTAAAGGCAAACTCGGACCGCGCGTGCATCTTACTTCAGCAGGTGCAACTTTTCTGGGGATCAGCATTTTAGCTGAACCCCGATTTTTATCCCCAAGGTTGTTAGCCCTGGGGTAAGGACGATGAGACGATGAGATTTCTTCCGCGTAAAGGAAAACTCGGACCGCGCGTGCATCTTACTTCAGCAGGTGCAACTTTTCTGGGGGATCAGCACTTTAGCTGAACCCCGAATTTTATCCCAAGGTTGTTAGCCCTGGGGGTAAGGACGATGAGACGATGAGATTTCTTCGCGTAAAGGAAAACTCGGACCGCGCTGCATCTTACTTCAGCAGGTGCAACTTTTCTGGGGGATCAGCACTTTAGCTGAACCCGAATTTTATCCCCAGAGGTTGTTAGCCCTGGGGTAAGGACGATGAGACGATGAGATTTCTCCGCGTAAAGGCAAACTCGACCGCGCGTGCATCTTACTTCAGCAGGTGCAACTTTTCTGGGGATCAGCATTTAGCTGAACCCCGAATTTTATCCCCCAAGGTTGTTAGCCCTGGGGTAAGGACGATGAGACGATGAGATTTCTTCGCGTAAAGCAAACTCGGACCGCGCGTGCATCTTACTTCAGCAGGTGCAACTTTTCTTGCGGGATCAGCATTTTAGCTGAACCCCGAATTTTATCCCCCAAGGTTGTTAGCCCTGGGGGTAAGGACGATGAGACGATGGATTTCTTCCGCGTAAAGAAAACTCGGACCGCGTGCATCTTACTTCAGCAGGTGCAACTTTTCTGGGGATCAGCACTTTAGCTGAACCCGAATTTTATCCCCAAGGTTGTTAGCCCTGGGGTAAGGACGATGAGACGATGAGATTTCTTCGCGTAAAGGCAAACTCGGACGCGCGTGCATCTTACTTCAGCAGGTGCAACTTTTCTGGGGGATCAGCACTTTAGCTGAACCCCGAATTTTATCCCCAAGGTTTGTTAGCCCTGGGGTAAGGACGATGAGACGATGAGATTTCTTCGCGTAAAGGAAAACTCGGACGCGCGTGCATCTTACTTCAGCAGGTGCAACTTTTCTGGGGATCAGCACTTTAGCTGAACCCGAATTTTATCCCCAAGGTTGTTAGCCCTGGGGGTAAGGACGATGAGACGATGAGATTTCTTCGCGTAAAGGAAAACTCGGACCGCGCGTGCATCTTACTTCAGCAGGTGCAACTTTTCTGGGATCAGCACTTTAGCTGAACCCCGAATTTTATCCCCAAGGTTGTTAGCCTGGGGTAAGGACGATGAGACGATGAGATTTCTTCCGCGTAAAGGCAAACTCGGACCGCGCGTGCATCTTACTTCAGCAGGTGCAACTTTTCTGGGGGATCAGCACTTTAGCTGAACCCGAATTTTATCCCCAAGGTTGTTAGCCCTGGGGTAAGGACGATGAGACGATGAGATTTCTTCCGCGTAAAGGCAAACTCGGACGCGCGTGCATCTTACTTCAGCAGTGCAACTTTTCTGCGGGATCAGCATTTTAGCTGAACCCGAATTTTATCCCCCAAGGTGTTAGCCCTGGGGTAAGGACGATGAGACGATGAGATTTCTTCCGCGTAAAGGCAAACTCGGACCGCGCGTGCATCTTACTTCAGCAGGTGCAACTTTTTCTGGGGATCAGCACTTTAGCTGAACCCGAATTTATCCCCCAAGGTTGTTAGCCCTGGGGGTAAGGACGATGAGACGATGAGATTTCTTCCGCGTAAAGGCAAACTCGGACGCGCGTGCATCTTCTTCAGCAGGTGCAACTTTTCTGGGGGATCAGCACTTTAGCTGAACCCGAATTTTATCCCCAAGGTTGTTAGCCTGGGGGTAAGGACGATGAGACGATGAGATTTCTTCCGCGTAAAGGCAAACTCGGACCGCGCGTGCATCTTACTTCAGCAGGTGCAACTTTTCTGGGGATCAGCACTTTAGCTGAACCCGAATTTTATCCCCAAGTTGTTAGCCCTGGGGTAAGGACGACGAGACGATGAGATTTCTTCCGCGTAAAGGCAAACTCGGACCGCGCGTGCATCTTACTTCAGCAGGTGCAACTTTTCTGGGGTTCAGCACTTTAGCTGAACCCGAATTTTATCCCCAAGGTTGTTAGCCCTGGGGTAAGGCACGATGAGATGATGACGATAGTGTAAACGTATATATCGTTGCTTACGGTGGGAGATGTTGGGTCGGGTTTTCAGGTCTTGGGAAAATTCTAATTGGTAAACAGTTATAATTTTTTCCATAATATCTACTTTTCTAGTACGGGGTTTAAATTGAAAATTTTTCCTACAATATGAATTGATCATTTTTAATCCCCCTCTTTTTACTTAATTTAAAAACCAAATAGTTTTATTGAACATTCTCGTATTATTAATATTGTTAATATAATTATTTTTGTTACAAAATACAAGTATTATCATTACGAAATACTTTTATTTTCCAACGTTTTCAATTTTTCTCACGAAAATCGATGCGTTTTCGCTCGTATGCTGACGATATTTCCTCCTTTTATAGTCTTCTTTAGGGAAAATTCAATAATACGTAATCTTAGCTCTCTAAAAACCTCTGTGTGAAACATTTAGTAGTACTTAATAACCTTTCACTGACTTATACAAGATCCGTCCAATCCTTTCTGTAACTAATTTGCTGAGTTAGCAAATATAATTTATCTAAATTTTGAATAAATTTTCATAGCTTTCTTATATACTTACCATTAACTTTAACACATCCCTTACTTAAAATAAATACAATTCATCTCACTCATAAATTTCATTTCATCAATGCCTAGAGAGTATTTCCTTTTCTATCAACTTCTTCTTCCCTCCCATCCTTATATTCCTGTCTTCAATGTGAAAACCCCCCTCATCCAAATTGTGTTCTTATTTCTCTTTGAATGACCTTTTCATTAACTATTGTATTACATTTTTTTGGAAATGGTCAGGCGGAGGAGCAGGCTAAATGACTTGTGCCTCTCCATCTATATTTATTTTATTTATTTATTTATTTATTTATTTATTTATTTATTTATTTATTTATTTATTTATTTATTTATTTCCACAAACACACACATATCATCTGACTGGCCTAGCTATTGTATATAAACATAGAAATTTAAAATCACATCAACTTAAATATCATTGTAACATAACTATTTACATACTGATTTCCTAAAGAATGATATTTTGTGCCATCCTACCAATACAACACATTCCAATACAACACATGCCAATACAACCATTCTTCCCTACCAATACAACACAATTCCACCGTACATCCTCCCGTCGTTTACTGCTCTGCATCTATTTCTATTTTCCAGTTAAATATAAAAGTTTCGTTCAAGAAATATCATACCTCTTAATTGGTTAATTATATCGACTAATTTCAACGGTGCTCGGCAATGCATAATAGTTACGTTATTCATTTACAAGTATATAGACAAAACCACATTATTTTTATTCCGTAGAATTACAATAGAATTGACATAAGGGATCATTGCTTAATGATTCTGTCATGGAGTATTTTCTGTTTGTTTTCTAACTTCGTGTTAGATATACACGAGACATGTATACGGGTTCGCTACATGGACACGGTTTCGGTATACACGAGACATTTGATCTTGATAATTAAATGGACTTTCATCTCTTAATTGTAACTTGAATAAGTATTCTTTCACAGGTTGCATGGACTCTTGGAATACTATAACTAAGGGTTCACTATATCCGAGTTCTCTATTAGAAAAGTAATATAGATATGTACTTCTTCGAAGCTATTATAAATGGTACATTAAAAACCGTTTTCTTTAGATCATTAACGTACATGCTGTGTGGCAGGCACGAAGATGGCTTGCGGCGGCGCGGCGTCTTTTGTCCTGGCGACGATGGCGGTCGTGGCGTGGCGTTGCTCGACGGCGACGACGCCCGACGGCGCCACAGACTGGCGCCCTGTCTACCCCGTCCCCAACAAGAACGCCTGCGCCACACGGCGGCCGGCCGCGCCCCTGCCGCCGCAGCACCGGGCGCGCGCAGCGCTGCTCGAGGTACGCCACACGCCATTAACCCTCTAGCGCACAGGTGCCTAACTACCAAGATCTAGACCAGGGCCCTATGACTCCCATATAACGCGGTGGAGACCATTACGGTGGCGCGCTCTACTGCATCACCTTCTTTACAGGAACTAAAACAGGAACTGCTGCCAATGATACTTTAAACGTGCGTGGCTGCTGCGTGAGTTCGCGGGTCGCAAGCAGGCCCATAATGTTACAAAAAATAACGTCTACGTTCGCTCTTTCTTCTGAGGTTTCTTATAAGTATAAATTATGAATAATTGTACATTTAGAAGACACTTTTCGTATTTCTCACAAATTAGCCAATTTGTATGTGAGAAAGTTGGCGAGCCTAACCTGCAGCTGCACCCGGCGACATTAGCGCTTCCTATAGTGGCAACCTCGAGCTTTGTCCTCGATTTTGATGGAGAGTTGCCGGGCCCTGATCTAGACGGCGACAGCGAAAATCTCCAATATATACCGCGGCGCGTAGCAGAGCATTGGATGGAATGGAGGCCTTCCCACGTGCAGCGGGTGGCGGCTGCTGCGGCAGCCGACGCCGAACTCCAGCCACGCGAGCGGAGGAGGGGCCACGCGCCACGGCTAGCAGTGCAGTTGTACCGATAATCAGCCGATACACACCTGACTTCCCCGTATGGTTGATACTCGCTGTTTGGCCGGCTGCACTAAGACGGAACACGGGAGAATGAAATAGTGACTTACTTCAGACACTACCGTCGTTTAAATAGGAATTATTTTTAATTTCTTAAATTATCAGAACCGAGTTCAATCCCCCTACCGAACCGTTTTCCAATATTTTTCAAGCATTAGGGGTCGAGTACCGTGAATTTTAAAAGTTAATGCACGTTTTATTACGGTCAATCTCACAATATTTGGACTGGAGTCTGGTTTCCTCCATTCAACTTCACAAAAATTGCTCTACCTATGTACCACTTTACAAAAAGATAGAGCGTATTAAATTTTTCTCAAATTTTCCACGTCATTGAAGGGCGTAATGTGACCTATCACAGTTAGCCGAAGCCGTTATTTGCGTATAACTCCGAAACTAACATTTCAACCGTAGTGGGTTTGCTTTATTCATTTTCTCGCAAATTGTTTTACCAATATACCAGTTTCCAAGACGATTCGCACACATTTTTGGCCGCAGTTTTTCATGTTTTCTTTTTTTTTAACTAACGGAGTTAGCAGAAAATCTTATTCGCATGTATCTCCGAAACTATTATTTGGACCACAGACAGGTGTGCTCCATTCAATTTCCCGTAACTTGTTCTACTTATATTCCAATTTTTAGCACGATATGCCGAAATTAAATTTTTCCCCAATTTGTCTCGTCATGGGGGGGCGGAGGGTTTAACAATCCCATTCAGCCGAAGTCGTATTCGCATGTAAGTCCGAAACTATTATTTTGACCGTATTCCAGTTAGTTTCAATCAAATTCTCGTATCTTAATCTACATATATACCAGTTTTCAATATGATGAGCCGAAATTAAATTTTTCTCCACTTTGTCAATAGGGTGTTTTAAACTTACATTTTGTCACTTGAACAATTGAGGTTCCTTCTGTTTTTCGTCTATCTCGGAAACTATTTGTCTGATTGGAGTTTCTTTTCACCAATCAATTTCTTTTAA